AGAGAGAGAGAGAGAGAGAGAGAGAGAGAGAGAGAGAGAGAGAGAGAGAGAGAGAGAGAGAGAGTTTGAACCTTGTCTATGGGAAGCATTTGTGTAACATACACACGTGAACAAAGGTCAATTTGAAACCGTTTTCTTCCAAGTCCGTCACAACCACCACCCCTCCATACATCGAACTAGAAAGTGTAAAAGCGGGAGGCAACCCATACAGTCTTGAGACATCGTTGAGCTGAGCAGCAACTAATTCAGAATTATTTTATGACACTGATCTAGTTCCATCTATATTTGAACACGGGTCTGTATCTCAACACTTGATGGGTGTACAGACTTAGGCCCGTTTGTTCCCCACTTAACTTTCCAAACCAAATGTGAGGATGTACATCCGTTCGTTTCGAGCAGTTATACCCAATTCATGGATCCAAGTGCAGTGTCAATATCGATGTCAGAAGCCTGCGTGTTAATCCCCCTCCCTCTCCCACCTCACACAAAAGGGCCTGTGTGTTCATTCCCCCTCCCCCCCCTGCGCACCCCCACTAAATGAAACCCGTGATTCAGAATCTTCCAGCGTTGATCTGTTATCGGCACAGATACCCGTTGATCCAACACAGTACATCTCTATTTAAAAAGCATCAGAAGACAAATGCCGAAGAGATAGACAAAAAAAACAGTACAGCCTCACCAATTAAAAGGCATCAGAGGACAGAAGAGACGGACTAGAAAACAGTACAGCCTCCCCCTTGTCAGCGACTAGCCACCAGATAAGGGGGGCATTGTTAATCACGCACCCGACCTCCTAAGCCCTGCCGTTTACTTCAGACTCTTCAGAGACCTCGATGAGGCCTCCCTGCTGACCAGGAAACTTTAGAGTTGTCCCCTTATGCTCAACAGGTCCCGGAGAAGACAGCACAGAGTAGGGCATGCTTAGCAGTTCCTAAAGCCGCTCCCATCCCAGCAGCACTGGATGAGACATAAAACCAAGGCTGTCACAACCAAAACAACCGTCTGCATCCCTGTCCTCATTTGGCCCATCCCTACCGGCCCTATCTACTCACTTTACAAAGTTGACATCCTATTTACCGCCATTGGTTGCTTACGGTCTTCCTCCCCTCCTTACCCTGCTAACCTACCTCTATCTCTGATTTGTGCCTTCCTTAGGAAGGCCACTCCCATCTGGACCCCCCTAATCCCCAACGCCGGCCGGCCCAGCCCACAAGACCGGGCCCACACAAGAACCCTTTAAGATCATCGTAGTTATCAGTTTGTCATAATCCCCGGCTCTTCCAAGTCCTTTCATAAGAGTAGGACCCCTCCCCCTCTAATCCCCAATGCCGGCCGGCCCAACCAGCAAGACCACGGTGACCACCCACTCCTAAGTTAACAGTAAACACAGGCCGTACCTACTCCCTTCTAATGTGACTTAAGCAAAAATTATGTTCTACTAGGAATTTGTCTCTACGGCCTCCCGTGTCCAGAGATGACGATCCACCAACTTCGGACCAAACTGCATCAGATTCTTTCCAGTCACTGACAGTCCGTTTCTAATCAGCATCTCCCAGTCGGATCCCACCTCCGCCAGAAGCCGTCAGCATCGGTTTCCAGCTTCCTTTGGCATCACTTGTTGAAGTCAACCATCTCGATGCCCTTTCCCGGATGACCTGCACCCTGAGGGAGAAGACCGCGTGCTGCGTGCCCTGCCTAACCCATTCATTCCGCAGTGTACAGATAGCCTATCTGTACCCTTCGTACGACGTACGGGGGATTTATCGTACGGTTGTACATTCAGCCGTATGAACGGCCGTACGGCCGTACGTACAGCCCCGTACGAAAAAAAAAAAAAAAAAAAAAAAAAAAAAAAAAAACACGTTTTTTTTTAATCTCAAATTCGGTAACGAATTTCAATATGACCCTGAGGCAAAAGTGTTTCAATTTATTTTTCTGCATAACATGTTTTTTTTTCAGATTTTTTCGAAATTTTGTTTTTTGCTTGAGCCCGTACGTACGGTCGTACGTACGTACGGCCCGTATTCGTACGGGGGTCTACACAGCAGATAGGTAGCACATAACACTGCATAGCCTCCCTCAAAGTCGCTAGGCAGCAATTGGTCTTCGTGTGTTCTAGCATCCACGGTCATGCTCAGAGGGTCCACAGTCGCTATCCAGCCCATAACACAGACTGAGAGGTAAGTGAGGAGAAGGCCTGTGAGCACGGATGGACCATGCGTCTATGTCAATGTGGTTCTTCTGCGACATTATCAAACCTCAGACTACATAGAGACTTGGAGTTACTCGTCTCATCTCGTCTCATCTCTCATCTCCGGATAGAAATGAATGAGACATCCATGCCTGTAACTTCCATTGGAGATTGCTCCTGCCATCCTGCGTCCACCAGCCTCAGGTGGTCTGATCTGAATCAGGGGACGTCTAAGGAACAGAGGAGGTATAGTTTCCACCTGTCCACATCCCTCCCTGCAACCCTGATTTTCTTTATGCTGGCCTTTAGCCTTTAGGTGCCTGGCATTAAGCCGTGGGGACATCAGCTGAGGGAGATAAATTTATCATGGCAGGCCTGCTTGCTTTGCATCCGGCAGGGCTCCCATCAGTGCACATTGCTCCTAGCCTCCTACCACGGCCGCTTAGTCCACCTTCCAGTATTACACCTTCCAATGTGCATGTGCAGGATCAAATTGAATCCAGTTTAAACGGACACAATCCTGGAACATCTACACACCAAAACAAAGAGGAAAAAAAAATACGATGTGAGAAGTGAAGGTCAGCAAACACAACAACACGGTGCGGCGATCCGAAACCTGTGAGCCATGCAGGCCGAGTGACTTACAGGCCATCAAAACCGGGAAACAGAAGATTTATATAGGTGGAAGCAGAAATTTTTCTCTCCTCCTCCTCCTCCTCCTCCTCCTGCTGCTGCTTGATTTTGCGACCCGTTGTCAATTACCTTCCTCAACATCTCTTCAGCATGTCTGCCTGATCGGATGACTACGTGCCAGCTCGGCCTCGGACTTTCTGCCTGGTGTCCATTTCCCTCTCTCTCCTCCCCTCCCATTGCTGATGAGGGAGTTAAAAATGCGCGAGAGGACTACCTTCAAGTTCACTGCGTGAGCTGGGTTTGAACCGGCGTGCACACTGCCGAACACACTCTTCGGACTGACCTCTTCCTCCTGCTGCAAACTCCTTTAGGACGAAACATAAAACACGGTGATTTACGAAGCGCAACAGCCTATAGTATAGGCTGTGCCTTACTCAGGTAACCACTGCGCATAGCTGAAAACCTTCGACAGCAATCTTACGAGATCGCTTAACAGCTACAACACATGTCATTGATCGGTGTCCAACACACCCGCAAACGACATGGCTCTTTGCTCTATCAACCTGGAACTCGATAAATATATGTAGCCCCTTCCCCTTTCGGTTCTTCTCTGGAGAGGGTGTCCGATTCAATGAAAAGTCATTCGTAATCGATCACAGACGCTCTCTCTCTCTCTCTCTCTCTCTCTCTCTCTCTCTCTCTCTCTCTCTCTCTCTCTCTCTCTCCACCTGCGTGGGTGTATGCACGATATGCTTGTGTGCGTGTGCGTGTGCGCATATTAGTGGGCGCGTGTGTATGATATTTTTAGCTGACAAAAGATGCGTGGAATGACTTGAGACATGAGGCGACAGGACGGGTGTCGCACGCCTGTGAGCGACGACAGTGGTTCGAAGATTTACTTAGCGCGGCCGCAAACCGACCTTCTGCATAGCAATCGGCCTCCCGGGTAGCAGAGACAAGTGGAGCAGCCATCACCCTTGGGGATCCTCAAGTCGACAGCGAAGTACCGGCCGTTGTACTCGCAATAGGAAGAAGACTCGTTCTCGCCAACGCAGTAGCCGGACGGGCCGCCGACCCGCGGATCATACAGCTGGCTGATAAGGCAGATCTGGCCCTGAGGGCAGGGACCGGCGCAAGCGCCAGCATACGGATCTTGTTGAGCAGATGCCGCGGCTATGGACGTTAACAACAGCAGCCCTATGATCAGCCCACGGAAGGTGGAGGACGAAAAGACGGAGGTCGACGTGATCACTGTCAGCCTCCTCCCTGTCATCGTTACGTGGTGATCAGCCTCTGCATGCTGCCCTCCACTCCAGCTCCCAGAACCAGTGCCGAAGGCCAGGGAACAAAGCCCCATGTTTCCCTCCTCACTGACGAAACCAGCAACACACACTCGAGTGCCTTGTCCCCTCCTCTCTCTGTCTATCGATCGGCTTGTATAAGCGAGTGAGCGAGACACAGACACAGAGGAAGAGAGAAAGGGAGACAGAGAGACAGCGAGAGAGCGAGAGAGCGAGCGAGCGAGCGAGAGAGAGAGAGAGAGAGAGAGAGAGAGAGAGAGAGAGAGAGAGAGAGAGAGAGTCCTGAGCAGTGGTAATTCTAATCCGTGTACCAATCAGATCGTAACTAAAATGAGCAATCAAATCGAGCTATGAATCTTCTTCTAACCTTCAGCCACTCGCTCTCCTCCTCGTCTTCCCTCTCAATGAGCCATGAGAGACTGCGGCTTCTTCCGTCCTCGAGAACAATACGTGCTATATAGAAAGACGAGGCATGCAACAGCTGAAAATTGACAGAGGCAGAGGGGCAGCCGCCCCTGTTCATGCTCTGATGGTGCCTGCATTGAGAATACAGACGCGGGCAGTTCCGATGGTAGACGGGGACCAGGTCCCACTAGCAGCTGGGCCAAACTCCCAACTAGTAGCAGCGTTGAGTCTCCTCAACGCCCGAGTCTGAATCTGGACCTGTTTGTGAAGTGGAAACTCAACGCGATTTTCTGCACATCTAAGCAAACACGTCCACATTTGCTGCTTGCTAGTGGGACTTGGACCCGACGAGTTTCCAGCCTAAAACCGCAATTCCAACACCAACACGAAATTCACGAATTATGGTTATTCCGGGGGCGGGGGGCCCGAGGAGAAGTGAAAGACGAATTATGGTACGCAGAAGTTTTGGTTCGATTGTGTGTGGCACGCCTTCAGTTGAAGGTGAAGAGGCTACGGCCTGACTCTTTGGGCATACTCACACTGAGTCACACAACCACTTTCCTAAAGGTAACTGGCTGCGACTACGGTCAAACGTGGAGGAATCTGACCCCCCATCACGTCAACAGCTTGGTAGGAAAAGTGCTCGTGTGAATATATGCCCTCCCGCTTACTCGGGATTCCTTTTTTTTTGGGGGGATTATTTGCCATTCCGAGAAGTCTTTGCAGGCCCAGCTTCCCAGGGGCATGGTCCCACTAGCAACGGGATAGGATAGAAACGAGTTTGTGGGGCAGTTGAGTGACCCAAATCCTGCCGTGGAGTACTCTTGATCCCACGGTCAGTATTTTACATGTATTACCCGAAAAAGTAAGGCCATCTTTGTTCCCCTCGTCCTCTCCTGGGGATGCCCGTCCAAAGGAAGCTTCCCGCCAGAATCTTTTCAATCGGTTGGGGGTGTGCCCAACCTCAGAGGAGGGTGGGGTTGGCCTTAGCTACTGATCCGACAGTACTTGAAACGCAAGAGAACCTAAGAGAACCCGAAAAGTCGGAGCCGGTCCGTGAAAAACGGGACCCCACAGTACCGCCGAAGAAGGAGGTATCACGCCGCCGGTTTTCTGTGGCCACCCCCGGGTCCTGCGAATTCCTGGAAGTCTTTGATGTCCATCGGGGGGGCGGCTTGGAGCGACCTGGGCCCGTGTGTGTGGCCTCTTGAAGGTTGTGCGGTGGGTACCGGTTGTGCGAACAGTCGGAAGTGCCGAGGAGAGCGAGTCGTTGGAAGTGCCCCGGAGTCGAGGCCCTACTGTCCACCCCGCATGCCCATCCGCACGTGGAGCGGCGGCTGCATCCAAAAACAGAACTACCACGCGTAGACTACCGGACAAGAAGAACGATAGCTCACCTTGTCGTACGTCACATGCCGCCGCCGCCTGCCGAACCGGCCCTACGAGCACTTCCCCAGAGCGGCCACCACCTGTCCCAAAAAAAAATATCGGTTTGGCCTACCGTGTGATGTCGAGGCCCTCCAAGGACTGGCGGGGAGGGGACCGTCGCCCGTTGCACGCTTCTGTGGACCACGGACATACGGGCTGTTCGACGCGGAGATCAAAAAGCAAAAAAAAAAAAAAAAAAAAACTTCCCCATCTTTTCCGTTGCAGAGACCGTTTGCATCTCTTTTCCAAAATGGTCCATCGGGGGGGCCGCTTGGAGCGACCTGGGCCCGTGAGTGTGGCCTCTTGAAGGTTGTGCGGCGGGTACCGGTTGTGCGAACAGTCGGAAGTGCTGAGGAGCGCGAGTCGTTGGAAGTGCCCCGAAGTCGAGGCCCTACTGTCCACCCCGCATGCCCATCCGCGCGTGGAGTGGCGGCTGCATCCAAAAACAGAACTACCACGCGTCGACTACCGGACAAGAAGAACGATAGCTCACCTTGTCGTACGTCACATGCTGCCGCCGCCTGCCGAACCGGCCCTACGAGCACTTCCCCAGAGCGGCCACCACCTGTCCCCAAAAACAATATCCGTTTGGCCTACCGTGTGATGTCGAGGCCCTCCAAGGACTGGCGGGGAGGGGACCGTCGCCCGTCGCACGCTTCTGTGGACCACGGACATACGGGCTGTTCGACGCGGAGATCAAAAAGCAAAAAAAAAAAAAAAAAACCTTCCCCATCTTTGCGTTGCAGAGACCGTTTGCATCTCTTTTCCAAAACGGTCCATTCTCTTGCGGAATGGAATCCGCGCTGCGTGCCACGATACCCCAACCCCAAAAAACCCTGCGACAGTGCCACGATACCCCAACCCCAAAAAGTCCAAAATTTACTTCGTCTCTCTCTCTCTCTCTCTCTCTCTCTCTCTCTCTCTCTCTCTCTCTCTCTCTCTCTCTCTCTCTCTCTCTCTCTCTCTCTCTCTCTCTCT